GAAAGAAAAAAATAGAAAACGAAACGTAATGATAGATATTCCTCGCGTGAGGGAACGAATATCCGGCGTCCGCGCAAGGTACACTCCGTACGTATTTCTGGACTGCAGTTGGATCGTTCGATGTAATTGGAATTGACTGCTTCAGAATCGCCGATCGAAGCGAATCACTCTCGATCCGAAAAGCGGCGATCGACGTGACGTCCGCTTTCCCCGTATTTCCCATCCTCTCTCCACTGCGCCACTAACATTGACTATATGTAATTATCAGCCAAGGTGCATTCTTCGTTTTCATAAGTGTTTCTTTATCATCATATTTACATCGCGCGTACGTAAAAGAGGACAAGTCCGAAATGGACTTCTATTAACTTCCGCCTCCAATCGAATAGTATATCTAAATCAATTTTTCCTTTCTTTTTTTTTTAACACTAGCTTACCTAATGTGAAAATTTCAAATCGTTTCGTACTTGGCCACTTTTTTATGCTTTTTATACTTGCTTTCGTACGTATTACGCTTGTCTATTTCGCTAAGAAATGAGATTTAAAGACAGATCGTTATTTTAAAATTATCTCGCACAAGAAGCTCATCGTCATAATGATCAAGAATCATGGTCTTCATTTTGGTCTCGCAGACGCGTTACATAACATTTGTTTGATGCATGACAAAAAGTACCGCCGATATTTAAGACGGAAATCGCCGATAGCAGCGCGCAATTTGCATATCGTGAATATATAAAAAGCGATATTCTTGAAAGAGATCGCCGAATGACTCGCAATCCTTTCGCAATCTTGAATGTGAAAAATTCATCTAAGATACTTAACAAATGCTATAGTTTCACAATTATTTGGCGATACAAATTATCGAAAAAAGATAAATCTTGAACAAAAAGATATTTTTAATATAATCTGTTTGTTTAAAACTCATGCATGAGATAATAATAGTTAAAGAATTTAGCGCAACGATAATTTGAACTTAAAGAACAAAGAAATCAATCTTGACGTTGAACAAATTAAATTTTAATTAATTTATTCTTAAGTTTTTGAAAAAAAATTAAATTGCACAACTACACTGAATCTTTCAATGAAAATTTAAATAAATAAATCTGTAAAAAAAGTAAAGATGATAGAATCTATATTAGCAAGTTTCTTATAACCTTATATTGTCGAACTTATTTAACAAATACCGGAAAATAATTGTGAAGCTAAGCTTACGGATAACATTGTGTCGAAAAGATTGCCTCTTCTCAGGATTGTATTATCGACACTATATCACACACTAAATTGTCTTGTTTAAAGCCGCGTTGTATGTGTAATAATAATGTCGCAAATTTCTTTTTACGCAATCTATATTCAGTGGACGGATACACGAGCTATAATAATTTTGCCTAAAAAAATTTGTTTCTCGTGCATGATTTTCGAAGTATGAGACAAGCATAATTTTTCCTATAAACTTCTACTTCCGCTTTCAACTGATTTGTCTTCAGTGACGAAACTATGTTCGGAGTCGGTATATGGAACTAATGCATTTTAATGACGCTTTAAAATCCATTTCGGTCGAAAATCAAGCACGCTCGTGTGACATATAGAGAGTGAGTTCGACATTTTTTTTTTAAATGTCGATCGTGTGATCGCAACGTAGCGCATTTCCCTTTTCAATAATTGAGTCGATTTCGAAAGAAAAAACCATTTATTTGATTCCAGCGCATACATGTTTTTCAACTTCACTAGATTTCGCGCTTTTTACAGAAATTCGTCGGTTTGCAAACGCAGAGATATATATTATATATATATTTATATATATAAATAAACACATATGTGTGTATTATATATATATACACATATATATACGTATATATGTATATGCATGCATAATATAATCTTTCTACTTAACTTACAACAAATGAATAATAAAAATAAGGTCTTCCTTATACAAGAAATAGAAAGAATCCGGATATCGAAAACAGGAGATAAAAAGAAAAATTCAAAACGTATCTTTTTTAGAGAAAATTGTAAACTATTAGCATAGCGACGTCTATTTTGACAATAATGCCAATTTTCCACAAAAATTGTGCATTTTCGCCGTTTAGAATCTTCATTTTGAAACAGCCATTTACTGCTTCACGTTTCACTTCGTGGAAAAAAACCACTTGTCCTCAGTGTCACACATGTATTTTGTATGTAAATCAACTCCGTCCCTAAGTGCTAATTACAGTAATTACGTTATGAACACTTACGAGTAATTTCGTACACTTATGCCAAAACGGAAAGCTCGTATTTCATGTTTCTGTTCACTTTAGTAAAACACCTGTAAACTTTTAAGAATAGTCGAAACGATTGAATTCGACTAACAATGTCATTCAAATAATTTTTCATTTATCACAATGTTATATTTAAAAAAATATAAGATTATCATAATTTTGTTTTATAACCATTATTTAAAAATTGTTGAATTATTTTTCGAATAAATCGGCTATTAGCACATTATACTAATAAAAAAAACTCAATGTTGTTAAAAATAAACAAAAATAATTTTATCTCGTAATTTTTTTTATGTCTAAATTTTAATCATTGTTAGTCGTTCAGGTCGATCGGCATGCACGCTTATCGCATAGGCGGTAAGTTTCAGTCGAACGGTATTCGCTATCGGTATATCGACATACGCACATAGGTATTCTAAGCTTAATCATATTTGTCGATAGAATTGACCTCATTTCGCTTGTTGCGGTTGCTTACGATACCCCGATTCCGTTCTGTTCGCACGCGACGGATGCGCCGAAAATTTCTCGCAATGTCAAATATCGTGCATCTACATAAAAATCGATGACCTATTGAACATCTGTTTTGGTATCCGCATTTTCGAATCCACTATGCTTCACATTGTAATCGCATCAACTTTAATGATTCCATTTTGTTCTATCATTTAAATAAATTTAAACGCAAAACAGATTTTTTTTTTAATCTGCTTATTAATTATTTTATATTAATTCTTTGATTAATATTTATATTAATTTGACAATTTCGTAACAGGCGAATCCGATTAACAAAGCAAGAAGCATGGTGGATTTAAATGGGTACATTTAACTCTTAAATGCATTTCCCTGCAAAACTACTGTAGTCCGTTCTCCCGCGAATAATTTTTCTTTTGCTAAATAATTTACATCACATCGTCATGTAGTGTTATGGAAAGTAGACTAAAGGAATTACTTTCCGCTGAAAAACGCGGTTAAGAGTTAAATTCCCTGCCGAACTATCGCGGGAACTATTTCCGTGGCTAAGACATCGACTAATTCGTCAATGCACAATGCGATTTATCTTGGGTAAAAACATGACCGCGCTATCAACTAGAGTCACCTGTAAGCTCGAATTTACGATTACTGAGTCGCTTCTCCGTTTTAAGCACCTAGAGCATACGCCTCCTCGCAAATTACTCAATCTCTCGAGAGAAATCCATTAGGAAACCCGAGAAGAAACGTCCATCCAAGAATATCGATCGGATAACCAATGTTTCCGCGTGGATTAACGTTTCATCATATCGGGACAATCGGTACGAATATTAATATTTAACGAATTCGTCTAAGTTCTCTCTTCGATTCGATCTTACGAGACAGGTTTGATCCGACATGCTTTTGCTCTAGTTTCTCTTATAACACAGGTCAGACTCGGGAACGTCGCAGAAAACTGACACGACGATCTCTTGGTCGCAAGACCGATAGTGTCAGAAAGTTCGCAGCTTAATTTTTCATCCAAATTCCCGGGACGATTCCAAAAAGTTCCAGGCACGGCTTCGTTACGCGACTCACTAGTTAAATTATCGACGATATATCAAAATCGACGAATATCACGAAGTATATATTATTTTTTTCGATTCATCACAAATTTATGTACGAGCCCTAGAACTCTCGTTCGCTCTAAGTTAGCAAAAATAAGCATTTGTATATCCAGATCTAGAACTTTTCGGATATATTTCGCAATTACGATCATCTACGCGGTCAGTTTGATCAATATTTGTGAATGTCAGGTTAACTCTTTTAATACCAATAATTAATAAAATGTAAAATTTTATTAATTATTTGACTAAAATTTGACTAAAATTTTTCTTAAGATCCGAATAAAGATTTATTCGAAAAAAAAAGCTTTTGTGGTGTCTATTATATAATTTAGCACCGAAAGAGAATCAGCTGAAAAATTTAACATGTTTTATAACGAGAGGACAATCTCGAGAGACGTTTGCCGCGCGACTCGCAATTTTTGTCTCGACGACGAATTTCGACACTCTCGGCCTACTTACTTACTTACTTAGCAGCGACATTGATTAACGATTATTGTTCCGTCGACGAGAAGGATACAAAGTAATATATTTATCTAGGGAGAAGCACCAACGAGTCGTGAACAGCTCTCAGCTGAATTGTATCTTTCTCTCTCTCTCTCTCTCTCTCTCTCTCTCTCTCTCTCTCTCTCTCTTTCTCTGCTCTTTCTCTCCGTTTTTCCTAAGGTCGATGCAGCAGATTTGAAGTTCCGCGATGTTTTAAAATCACGTCGCGGATTCGTCCATTGATCGATGACTAAACTTACACTTTTACATCGTCTACTGGTAGTAGCGGTTCATTTATATTAGTTGTACCTAATGCATACCTTACTGCCTAATATATTCTAATATAATCTAAATATATAATATATATTGTGTACGTAATATATATATATCTATATATATATGTATGTATAACGCGTAACACTAGTAAACGTACAATATTTACTGTATAGAGTATATTCAATATTTTCTATATAATATCATACATATATATATATATATATATTTATATATATTTATATATGCGCTGCGCTAGCGACTGCTTTTTCGTATTCACCTCTGTGTTACTTTAATTACATGTACAATAATATAATGTATATCTTTCTTTCATATTTATTTATATATATATATATGTGTGTGTGTGTGTGTGTGTGTGTGTGTGTGTGTGTGTGTGTGTGT